GCCGGGCCGAGCCGCGGTACGCGGGGCTGCGCTGGGGATGGCAGGTCTCGGGGCTGTTGTCACCCTTAAAACAAAAGGGCTATTCTGGAGCCCATAGATCAGCAGCAGTAAAAGCTTTCATAAGGCACAGATCTCTCTATGAGGTTATAACAGCAGTGTTAATCTTCTATTCAGTGTTTACAGAGCCAGCTCATCCGTGGGGTGGGTGGAAAGCAGCCAGCTCGCAAGAGAACGCTCTTTATTAAAAAATACGGAGTTGTGTTGCTTTTAGCAGTGACCCCGGAGCGTGTCCCGCATTTCTGGGGGAGGGCAGCTCCCCTTGCCCGGGGCTCCCCCCAGTCCCGGCCCCGCCCCCTCCGGGGGGCGGCAGGAGAGAGGTAGGGGGGGTCTCCAGCCGCCTTCACCAGCATCTGGAGGAGCCCCCCTGGGAGAAAAAACCCTTGCGGGGATCTGGTGGGTTACCTTGGCCCAGAGGGGAGCCTAAAGAAGCCAACCCCCCCCGCCGGCAGTGCGCGGCTGCCCGCGCAGCCTTGCGCGCCCCCCCCCGGCGCCCCTGCCGCGCTGCTGCGGGCCGGCTGCTTCGCTCTCGTCGCTTTGGTTTATCCATTTATTTGTTTGTTTTACGTAAGGAGGAGGGGGGAGCCTTTCGGTCCGTATCAGCAGGCAGAGACCATCATTTCGAAACGGGAAGCAAAGGGGGAGGAACGGGTGAATTGTGGAAAACTTAGGAAAAGCAGGGGCGATAGCCGTGCAAAAAACCACCCCTCTCCTTGCTACACTCATCCTTGTGCGAAATGAAGTTTTAGAAGAAATCCCAGCACGGAACTCGCTCGTTTCTCCATCCTGCTTATCCCAGCCTGTGGGAAGGGAAGATAATTCCTCGGGAAGGGCTGCGCACCCCGGGCGGGTGTACAGGGAGCTGCCTTTCAGCTCGTTTGGGGGACAGATGGGCTGATGTCGGTATTTCTGGCGGGCAGGCAGTCCCCGGGGTAGCAGCATCGCTGCTGCTAGAAAGCTACTTTAAGCGTGACACCATATAGAAATCTTACGGACATCACAATTTGTATTTAGAAAAGCCAGATAACTGAGGAGTCTTGGTTTTGCTTGCGATCCTGATTTCTTGCTGCAGCGATGCTGTGACTTGAGTCTGGGGGCAGTGGTCACAGACCCTCTGGGAGCGCTCTGCCTGCGCTGCCTGCGCTGCCTGCGCTGCCTGCGCGCCGCCCGCCGGCCCTCGCTCCCCTCCCTGCCAAAGCGCACGGCCCGCGCGAATTTGTTGCATTTCCTCGATTGATTGTTTAGTTAGAGATTTTGCCAACTTCCTGATGGTTCGTTTTCTGATTCTGCAAAAAAAGAACCGCATTTCCTTTTTGACTTAAGAGGGAGAGAGAGAGAGAGAAGCGGAGGCTGGGGGCTGGTGGACTCATCGAGCTGTATGTACTGGACTTTTTCTCTTCCCTCTCCCCGTCCCGAAACCCTCCTCCTCTTCCTCTTCCTCCCCTCCGAGCCCGGGGTTTGCACCATCCCCTTTCCCCGCTCCGAGCTTCTGCCTTGCAAAAACCCGCCGGGCTCCTGGGACAGAGCCTGGGCAGGGGGGGAAGCGGCACCGCTGCTCTGCACAGCTCCCCTGGCCCAGGCTGGAGCCTTCGGATTTGCTTCATTTGCCTTAAATCGCTTTAAAATTTTTTTTCTTTTTTTTTTTTTTTGCCTTTTCCCTGTCTCTTATTTCCCATTTCGCGCCCTATCCTTGCAGTTCTTGTGGCTACGACAAGCGATCCAACTGCAGAAAGAAAAGTAAACACGGAAATCTGTTCCACTCGCTTTTATTTGCTTCGGGTTTTCTGTTGTTGGGCTCGTCTGAGTTTATTTTACAATTATTTCGATTTTTTTTCTTTTTTTTGAGAGCAGCAAAGCTACCCTTTGCACCGGTTTTTTTTTCAGCTCTACTGCCTTTAACTGCTGCCTTTAATCCTGCTGCTTTTAAAACTGTATCTTTCTTATAGTCGATTTTTATCCCTAACCTTACCATAATATGCTTGAAATAGGTGTGGGGGGGAGTGCAACCCTTGCCATAAGCATAGCATATTGTAGAGAATTACTGTCCTTTCCCCCCAGCCCCCTTCTAAACTATTTTTCTGTGGCCTGATGTTTGTCATTCAAATCAGCGCTGACTTCAGAGATGTCTGCAGCAGGTCAGGGGCTGAAGACGCGCAGGGCCCTACCCCAAACCTCCTGAAATCAGCGGGAGCTTTGGATCAGGCCCTACAGAAATAAATTAGAGGAAAATCCTGAGTACAGTGTAAAGGAAAATACATGTGAGTCAGAGAGAACGGTGCTTTGTTCAGCTGCAACGGGGAAAGGGGAGAGCAAAACCCAAACTGCTTTCTGATAGTCTTAGGTCCAACGGTATTTAACAAAGGTGGAAATCTTAAATCATCTTCAAATTAGGGCCTGGTTTGGGAGTTGGTCCTAAAAGTTGCTCAAACTGTATTTGCTGCACCAGTGAAAATGCAGCATTGTTCGCTTGAACTGGAAAGAGTTTCCCCTGGATTTGGGCAGTTGAGTGGGATCTGGTCGGTGCCCAAAGTGCCCCCTATATTTACATACATCTGCATAAATAACCATGCATGCGTTTGTCAGCACTGATGCATGCCTGCCGATGAGCGTGAACGTAAAAGTGTTCCCGGGACGGTACACACACAGGGATGTCTGTAATGCTGCAGAAAGCAGATACAACATGCAAAGAGCAGTTTTCGGGCAAGGGCATATTTATTCTCTGCCTCTGCGCCCTGGTCTCGGTTTCTCCACGTGCATCTCGCTGCAAACGGCCACGTGCGAGCAGCCGTGTACG